GTGGTTCCTCGCCTTTTGTCTCGTGGCTTGCCAGCTATGGCTAGGTGTGCCTACCCTGTGCTTTTCCGGGAGGCCTTCCCTTCAGGCTGGGGACAGCAGTCAGTTTACCTCTTTCTGGCTTTCATGGACACTGCACATGCCCGGACGTGCATCCTGCCTTTTTGTGTGAGAGAAACCTGTGAACTACCCTACCACACCACGCTTGCTCTGCCTAACCCAGGGGAGCCCCAAAGGAGGCAGCAGATGTATAGAGGGGCCAGGCGAGTCTGCGTCTTGACTCCACAAAGTGGCTGTGCAGCCTGGATCACCCCTCTTCACTCCTCTGGGATGTGTAAGAAGGCACAGGGCTCTCAGCAGCTTTCCCAAGTCTCACAGTGCCTTAGGCTGACTCCTCCCAATATCCCTCTCCCACCCTTTCTCCTCCTGGAGAAGCCCCTGTCCTTCTGAGTCCCCACGACGGACAAATCTAATGTCCTGCAGGCAGGAATGCCAAAGGCAAGCAAATCCTCAGAGTCAGGAATTGTGGCGCTCTGATAACCGCTGCTAGCCACAGGAAGACCCTCCCTCCTCATCCTCCCAGCGGGGGCTGCGCCTCACTCACCGCGGGAGCTGTCCGTGGTGCTGGACGTGGCTCTGTCATCCACAGCAAGGAGAGAGGGCGGGAGGGTGGTGGGGCACCCACCCGCCCCAGTTCAGGTCAGAAACTAAAAGGAAGAGAGCAGAAACGTTTGGATACAGTAAGGAAATGGGAAATGTACCCCAGCAGAAAGTCTCCTCCCCGAAGACGTCCAATTGCCGGTACTATCAAGAAGGCTGGACAGCGGCAGAATCAAGGAACCACTGAACCTCCCAGGCCTTTATCATGAATTGAGGTGCCCGGATTGGTCCACCCTCCTCTAGATCCCAGCGGGAAATCCAGGAGATGGAGTCGGCGCTTTTTGCCCTTAGGAAACCAGCTCAGGTTCAGGAGAGAGGCAGAGAGAGACAGAGAGAGACAAACACAGAGAGACCTCTAAGTTTTAAGACTCCTACAAAGACTTTTCAGCAATAAAGATGAGAGACACCACCCTGCCTGCATTGTAGATATTAGGTACTTAGGTAGAAAACAGGCAGGGACGGACCAAGGTGTAGGTGTGTGTGTGTGTGTGTGTCCCAGAGAGATGAGATTACATAATTGTTCTTAATCCAAGTTGTTCAGTAAATGAGACTGAAGTCCGGACTCATTCCAGGATTTCATTGGTCTGAGGCTGGGCCCAAACATCTGTATTTTTTTAAAGTGCTCCCTTAGTGATTTTTATGCATAACCACGTTGTGAATCACTGGCCTAGAAGGAAGCAGACAAGAAAAAGTGCAGGGGTGAAGCCTGATGGGCTGGGGGAAGACACCCCTAAAGAAGAAGGAACAGCCTGGCGTGGTGGCACACGTCTGTGATCCCAGCACTCGGGAGGCTGAGGCAGGAGGGTCGCTGTGAGTTCAAGACCAGCCTGGGCTACACAGTGAGTTCCAGGTCAGTCTCAACTACATAGTGAGACCCTGTCTCAAAAAACCAAAAAAGAAAAAAAGAAGAAAGAACAAATGGGGAGGATAAAGACAGAATATAATCCCGTGCCCACAGGTGCCGGGGGCCGGGGAGCCACTCAGGTGTTGGGCTACTCTTCTTGCTTTGGACACCCAAACTACCCCAAGGCGAGGACCCCAACCATCTCTCCACCTGGTCCTCGCACAGAAACAGGGGTAGGGGGAATGGCCTGAGGATGCACTGCTCCCCTTCACCCTGAGGGTCCCCAGGAGGCAGCTGTGGAAGGTAAACAGCAACAATGGTCCCTTTCAGTGTCCAGACTCCAACCCTTCAGTCCAATTAGCAGACACAGCAAACAGCAATTCAGCTGCCTTCAGCTGCTGTCATAACAAACTCAGAGCTGCCTTAATGGGGAGATTAGGGCAGGAGGAGGGGGTGTCACCAGCCCTGGCAGAGCCTGGGAGGGAAGGAGGGGACTCCCCTTTTCACTCACCGCCTCCTAACACGCACACACCACCCACCTTCCTCCCATGGTCCCGCTCCTCAGGCTCCTCAAAGGCCCAGGAACGGCCTCAGTTTTGTCCCCACCTCTTTCAGGCATTTGAGAGCATTGGCCTGTGGACCACACAGTGCTATGATCCTGGGTCTCTGAGGTCTCACAGTACAGGAAAGGAGACAGGGAAGGTGAGCCTGAGCCCAGAACACTGGGGTGAGCGGCAAGCGAGGAAGTAACCGCCGCCACGCCACTCCCGACCTTGTAAGAACAGACTCCCAGAGGCCTCTGAGACGGGCTCTTTCTTACAAATACGCCCAGTGGCCATTCTACCAGGCTGGACCCAGCCTTTTCTCCCCACAGGCTTCTGTGCCTCCCACCCAGATCCCCAGGAGCCCCTCCTTGACTGTCAAAGCTCAAAAAAGAGGAGGGAGTGGCTCGCCCTTGAAGGTAAACTCCATCACAAACACACCAGACCTAAGATCAAGCACACACTTTTCAAGCAGTCTTCCCCAACTGGAGACTTCGACCTGTCTGCAACCTAAAGGTTTCCCCAACCCTCAGGCACCACCCACACCCACGTTATGGGGTAGGTTACAGAGAATACTTCCTACGCTGCATCTAACAACCCTGAGGAACTCTGGGGATGACACAGGGGCTTCCGTGAGGCCCTGGGTTTGGCCTCTAGCGCCACAAAAATAAAAATGCTAAGGGTATATTTTTATGCCCATTACACAGCTACATGAATCAAGACTCAGAGGTCACTGGGTGTGGTCCTGCACACTTATAATCCCAGCACTCTGGAAGGTTGAAACATGAGGATTGCCAGTTTGAGCCCAGCCTGGGCAATTTATAGACTTAGTGACTGACAGACCTTTCTCAAAATAAAAAATTTTAAAAGCATTGAAAACGTAGCTCAGTGTGAAGGCTCTGCATTCAATCCCCAATACTGTACTGCAAAATATATAATTGAACACTGGCACAGGGATGTGCTCAGCTGTAAGTGAGGCTCCTGACCGTGGACTGGCTCGGTCACATCTGTGCTTTCCATTTCTTTCCCCACCCCAGGCTCACAGGTTATGATGGTTATTATAATTCTCATGAGCACAAGGACCTTTCCACAAGACCCTTTCAATGCCTGGAACTGGGGGAAATGTCCCAGGGTGAGGGTGTAAGTAATAATACAAACTTGAGTCAGATATTTAGGAGAAAGTTGTCTTTGCCCGCCTGGGCTGAAATCAGTAGGGAGTTATTAGGGTGAGCAATGGGGGGAAAAAGAGAGATCAACAACCAGCTTAGGATCTGCTTTCCAGTAAATTAGGTGGATATAGCAAGACCCAAAGGACAGAACTAAAACTTCCTGGACACAGGCCGGGGACTGATGGTGCAGCAGGCTCTCCTGACGGGTTGCTGAGCAGGCTACCAGGCCCTGTCCACACCTCCCAGTCCTGTGGAGCTCCTGCTGGGTTCAAATGGGGGAGGAAAGGACTAGGGGGGTGCCACTGGGAGTTCCTATCTCTTCCTGCAGTGGATTTACCTGGATTTGGAGAGGCACTGTCCCACCACACTCCCTAGTACCATGAGCCCACATCCACCCTCGCACTGGCTCAGTTTCCTACCCTCACAAGCAAACAGCCACCCATCACTCTCCTGGAAAGCCCCCCCACACACACACATGCACACACACTCACAGCATATGCACACATGAAGCAGACACGAACGCTCCCACTGCTCCTGGGTTCCACCCCTCCTTCCCATGGAGGTGCTTGCTTTGTGGGGTGCAACCCTTCAACTCCCTCAATAGAGGCCCTCTATTCTCCTTTGAAGGGTCCTGTGGGCAGATGTGCTCCTGGGAGACAACATTAACAAGGAAATCGCTGTGGTCAGTAGTTCAGGCTCTAAGTCTCACGTAGACGAATCTGGGGATCCCAAATGCACATTTCTAACAAGCTCAGGAAGTTAAAAAGAGCAGGAGGGACTGGGGAAGTAGATCAGTGGTAGAGAGCATCTCCTTGTTTAGCAAGCGTGAGCCCCTGGTTTGATCCCCAGCAACATAACAAAATAAAAATAAACAAAAACTATCGATAGGGGCTGGGATTTAGCTCAGTGGTTCCACTGCCTGCCTCAAAAGTGCAAGCTCCGAGTTCTATCGCTAGTACCAAAAAAATAAATAAATAAAGAAACCAACCAGAAAGCTTTTTGGGGGGCAGTACTGGAGATTGAATTCAGGGCCTCATGCATGCTCTGTAAATGTCCTACCACAGAGCTACATCCCTAGCCCTTTACAATTTGTATTTTGAAGTGGAGGATACCTGTAATCCCAGCACTGGGGAGGTAGGCAGGAGGCCAGCGTGGGCTACATACTGAGTTCAAGGCCAGCCTGCACTACAAATTAAGACCCTGACTCAAACCCCTCCCCAGTTTTATTTTTTTGGTACCAGGGATTGAACTTAGGTCCTTGCGCTTGCAAGGCAGGCGCAGGAAGCACTGAGCTAAATCCCCAGCTGTCCAATTTTATTTTGAGGCCCTAGGTTGTTCAGTCTGGCCTTGAACTTGTGATCCTCCTGCCTCAGCCTCCCAGGTAGCTGGGGGAGATTAATCAGGGGCTTTCCCAAAGGAATACATTTATCTTTATGACCTAAATATCTCAGGCCAAAGAGTGTTCTAGAGGAGCACCAAGCTGCCTGGAAGCCTGTCTCTCTCGCGGTTGTAACCAGGCTCTCCTTGGTTGGCTGTCTCCCACCCTTCCCACACTTCCAGGGCACCTTCATCTCCTCCCCACCGTGCTTGCTCTTTCTCCAGCGCCCCACAGACAGATTCAGCGGGAAGAGCTCTGGGTTTGAAGCCATTTGGGTGCGTGATTGTTCCATAGCAGTCCCCTGTGTTGGGAGAGTGAAGGAAGCCACTAGATACAGTGCTAGGGATCACTGGTCCCAGCCTAAAACCTGTTCCCTTTCCCCCTAATCCAGTCTCCATTCCTTTTCCTCCAGAAAACCCAAATTCCAAGCAGCTGAAAAAGCGCTAATCTCTCCAGCCTGCAAATCCCTAAGTGAAGAAGTCATATGTATTCCAAGCACCCTGCAGCCCATTTTTTAAAAAAATGTTTGGATTCTCCAATATTTCTCCCACACGATATATAATCAAATCATTATCTTCTAGCTATGAAAATCAGGTCCTGGGAGAAAAATTTAAATTGACACAGGGAAGTGGAGTCAGGCCGCATCATCTTGCCCAGGTCTCCTGCTCCCTGGCCACTCCTTCCGGTCCTGTGTCCAGTGGCCAGGGAACCGGTGGGAAGTGGGGGCCTCCAGTTTTGACCACTTTTACTTTTACTCTGCACAGCGCCTCCCGCCCCTCTTTTTCTCAGCTGCACCTAACACTCTTTTGCTTAAAATATTTAGGTCAGGCCAGATAAATGGATTCTTGTAGGAAAGGCCCCAATTAATCTCACGAATTCTTTGCTTTCTGGGAGCAGCAGAGACTCTAAACTACAAATCCCTTTGTGTCCGGCTCCCTGAGGCCCTGTGCTCTAGGCTGTGATCTCCAGGTGTGAGGCTAGGGTAAGAGGGTAGGGCCTCCACAAAGACTCCACGGCCCCTCTGGTCATTCTGAACAAAGCAGAGGAGATTTTTTTTTAAAGGGTCGCTCAGTGCTGGGTCAGGAGGAGGAGAAAGTACAGAAAGGAAGCAGATTCTGCGACCCTGGACCTAGATCTCAGCCGGGCAGAAGGGTCTCCCGTTAGCCCGTTCCATCGGTTCCTCTGCAGGCGCAACCCCTACTCCCTCCCAGTCTCGGCCAAACCGGCTTGGGGAGGGCCAAAGCCCGGACGGGATTCTCCAATGCCTTCCCACAACCTGCCCGCCGGCAATATCCACGCAGTGGAGGGAACTGCTCCCCAGCTCCGGGGAGCCTGGGCCCGGGCCGGCGCGCCCCACACAGCCCTGCAAGGGTTTCCACCCATGCGCTGGGCGCAGCTCTCAAGGCACGAACAGTGGGGCAGGGCCACCACCGGACCCCGGAGGGAAGGGCCGG